GGTCTACAATCTCTCTCTCTCTCTCTCTCTCTCTCTCTCTCTCTCTCTCTCTCTCTCTCTCTCTCTCTCTCTCTCTCTCTCTCTCTCTCTCTCCCTACCTACCTACCTATCTATCTTTAGCAATTTGACACCAAGGTCGGGTGTATATTCTTATCTGCACATGTAGGTGTCCCCAATGTGTCGTGCCTAATGTCGGAGCCTTCGACATCGGTGATATTTTTATCGCAAAGAGAGAGAGAGAGAGAGAGAGAGAGAGAGAGAGAGAGAGAGAGAGAGAGAGAGAGAGAGAGAGAGAGAGAGAGAGAGAGAGAGAGAAAGAGAGAGAGAGAGAGAGATGGTTTCCAGGAGAGAGGACGGGTGGGGACGGGTGGGGACGGTGGCGATGGTGGTCTTCTATCGGGCGGGTACTCATTTGTGTGTGGGCAAGACCTCCACGACCCTTAGGCGTTGTTGAAGACTGGTAGGCGGAGTGTCCCGCGTGGCTCTACGGACATGCGCTGGCAAACATAATTTTTTTCTTTCCACCGTCTGTACAACCGGGTTCACAGCCAGTGGGGTGTTCCGGGGCGTTCCGTATGCCGGCACACAGGTCCTGGTCGAGACCTGGATTGTCAGTTCTTCTGACCAGCAGGCCCACTGGCCCCGTAATCAATTTTATTTGTTTTTCACAAGGTCGGAGGCCACCCGAGTCCCCGAAGAATGCGGTATAAGATTATATTCCCTTCTTTTTTTTTATGAAAGGTGAAGTCTGCTGCCACCTCCCTCCCTGCGTCGGCCGGGAGTCCGCTCGGGCCACCTATCTTATTCGTGCGGAGCAGCACGCACTGGGAACCGGGCCCAGTGTCCCTTCTACATTTTTGGTACAATGGAGTTCCTCCGGCAATCCTTGTGCAGGGAGCAGCACGTACTGGGAACTGGGCCCAGTGTCCCTTTTACATTTTTGGTGCAATGGAGTCCCTCCGTCAATCCTTGTGCGGGGCCTGAATTGATTACCCTCCTTTTATAGAGAGGATTGACAGGCCTCTTCTGCAGAATGTCCTGATCAGCTGGGGGGAAACGTCCTTACTTGATTCCTAGTTGTTTTCCACGGGTTGCTGCGCCACTCTGATGAAGCTGTCCAGACTGCAGTGCCTGCCCCTCCAACAGCCTGAAAGGTAGTGCTGGTCTGGAATAAGTTCTTCTAAACCACAATTGGTCTGGGCGCCAGATCTGTCACACCAAGTGGCAATAGTGTGCCACTCCTGTCACAGTGTAGCAGGACTTTAAACTACCCCCCGGCTACCGGTAGTGGGACCAGCTCCCTCAGGGGTTTCGAAATCCGAAGCGCTAAATTGCTGAAATACCCCTTGCTACAAGCTGCAGTACGAGAAATCGGCCTCCTGGTTCACGTACGTCACGTCTGGGAGCGAAGCTCGCCGACGTGGCACTTCGCGCGCGACGTGAACAAGCTACAGCCTGACTCGGAAGTCGTGAGATGTGGATGACCAGGTACCTTGAACACGTGGAATTTGATCTAGGCGTTGACGTCACCATCAAGCAGCGGATCTTGACGGTGGATCGGTGGGAGAGGGCTGTACTCTGAACACGTGGAATAGGTCACGGCTTACGTGGCGGGTAATCAGGGTACGCGCTGTCTGTCTGTCCGAGTCTTCTCCTCGTTCTTGATGTCATTCCTCTACACTGGTTTATTCGGGCTCGTCGATGGCTGAAACACCGAACGAAAAAGGAAAAGAAAGGAGGACGGGCATGAACTACCATATCGCAGAGTTTTGTAAAATAGAAGATCGAAAAAATAAATAAATAAATCAGAAGGATGATCGTGGACAGAGAGTAAAAAACAGTCAGCTAAAAAAAACAAAAAAACAAAAAAACACAGTCAGCTGGTTAAGATCTGCCAACTTTGCCACGTCAGCAGCAGTCCGCTGAACCTGTCGACGTGGATTACAGTGGGTGCCACGTGGGTGCCACGTGGGTGCCAGACACGTGGAAGTGGAAACAATCTGTGTTTACCTTTCTCGGCCTTTTGGCTAAGATCAAGTGTAGTATCTGTTCTGATCAGTTTAATATCTGATCTGTGGCCCATCGGATCATTGGAAAAAAAAAAAAAAAAAAAATATGTGTACCTTGGTCATGATTTTTTTTTTGGGGGGGGGGGGGGTGCGCATATCTATATTTATCCCATTCTAAACCCCTTTGGTCCCTGATTTTGGGGATTTGTCTGGCATTCTAAACCCCTGTGCGGTGGCTTCGTCCCCCTCTTGAGTGTTTGGAGCCCCCCCCTTCTCCTCCTGTCTTTCGCAAGAGCCACCTCCTCCTCCTCCTCCTCGCTCTCTTCCTCCCTTCCCGCCCTCCCTCCTGTCCCAGTGGATGGCCTGTTTTTTCTCCCGCCTAAAATGTCTACTGCCTTGCTTTCCTCCCAGTACGCTATTTCCTCCCCTCGGCTCCCAGCCCGGTGCATATTGCCGCGCAAGTACTGGGACTTTGCTGGGCGTATCTGACCGGGTATCCGGCTAGATTCCGTCGAGAACGAGCTACGGTAGCATTAGTGTCCCCTAAGTCGTTACTTGCCCCTGGTTCTACGTTTATGTCTGCCTCCTCCACATCCACGAGATATCGCTCTACTCTCTTTTCCACCTCCACCCTCTTCTCCTCGCTTTCTCTCCCCCTACCCGTCTTCCTTCGAATAGAACGGACGGTCATTATCGCTTGTATCTAGACTGAATATTGCCCCAGATACAAGCATAATGGCCGTACGTTCTGTTTAACGGGAAGACGGGGGTTGTTCTAGTCTATTTGCAAGAAAGCCCTCCTGCATCGCCTCCTCTGGCCTCCTTCCATTTAACCACTCAACTGCGCCGTCTCTATTTTTTCTTTTTTTCGCCGTCTCTCTTTCTCTCCCCTTTTTTTTTTTTTTTTTTTTTCTCTCACTGATTTCTTTCCTCTTTGGGCCTCGCTCCAGTACTGTCCACATGCACAAAAGACAAAATATGGCGGTGTATCTTTCCATGTTCTAGCAGAAGATTCATTCTCATTTTGCACATTTTGGGAGTAGTGGAGCGAGGCCCTTTGTTCAGACTATCTTTCCATGTTCTAGCAAAAGACTCATTCTCATTTTGCACATTTTGAGAGTAGTATAGCGAGGCCCTTTGTTCACACTATCTCCACCCTCC